TGCCTGAAGATTACTCCGTGCGGCTATAAACGACCGTTAAATGGAATGATGAATTTTTGAAGGATTTTGAAAATGGAAAAAATGATAGTCATGCCGGCCCAGCATCATCAACGATGAAAAATGCCCCGGCACGAAATGGTTCATAGGGTGAAAGGAGTTGCTCAAAATGTGTGCAACTGGGTCCAACATTAAAGACTCAGGATGGGATAAAAGGGCATCAACAAGTGCATAAACAGATTAAAACCTCAAAAATGCAGAGAATGGGGTATGCACATGTACATGTATATTATGCTGTAGATGGCTGATAATGGTCTGTAGTTAATACTTGGTAATAACCGCTTGATTACTGAAGATAAAGTGGTGGAAGTTCTTACTTAAGGGATTAATGGATAACATACATGTATCTTTCTTGTATGTTTATAGTCAAGACAGACAGTAGAAATCCTGACTTTGCACTGAAAGAGGATACCATAACTACATTGTATATGAACTGACACTACGACCTCTTCAACCATCAGGATAGAGTGTAATTCTCCTACAGGGTTTGTTTTAATCTTAAGTGTCTGTCATTCTTGACTCCAATAACCATGCAGCTAAACCAGTATGTAGGCTCTGTAACTTTGATGTTGTGATTACCTCATTCCAGCTCTCTTCTCTGAAAATCTTTTAGCAGAAAAAAATACAAATCAAATTTGGCCATATAACTACATGTACATGCCTTGACTGGCCAGCCAGAAGTTCAATGAACTTGATTTTGCCTGTATTAGTCATTAATGGTTTTTAACCATCACATCTGTGTCACATCTATGGTACCGGTACAGGTAACCCTTTCTAAACATTTGTCACGCGTCTGTCACTGTGCATTTTGAAATCTTTGTTCATACAGGTTTGAAACAAAATTATATCAATATCCAATCTAAGAAACATTACCATGATGTAGTTTGCATTGATGTAGTCTGATCCTTCCACATCTTCTATCTCAGGTAGAACAATACGAGTATAGTCAACTGAAGGCAGAAACAAACACATAATATTTCTTATTGGAAAACATACTTCTTATTAGGTATTAACCACACAAACATGTACTCATTTCTCTAAAAGATCCACAGTATGAATGTTACAACATGGAGATGCAGTGTACACTACATGCATGATCGAACATCTTGTTTGGGGTACATGTATACATGTACACACACAATGTACATGTACAGTATGTGATGGGAGGTGAGGATATGAAGAAGGGGGATATTAACATGTATAGGTATGTTTAGAAGGTGTATGTAAACACAAAGACAATACATGTACCTACCAGTACATACAAGTACATGTACAGGTACATTCACAAATGTACATTTATGGATTGTACACCCATAGTGTGTGTAGTTGTAAAACACTGACCAAATAAGCATGTAGAATGCACGCACAAAACATGCCTCAGTACATGAACTACAATGTTTAATGAAACTTGCAAGTTACCGGTACATGTACATGTACAGTGTACCATATGCTTCGGAAGATTGATATGAACAGTAGAAACATGGTGATCTCCCTAGAATAATATCCTACATGTACATGTACGTTGTTTCTAAATGTTTATATTACGTTCATAAATGCTGTACAACAAACACTGACTTTGAACCTACATGTATTGTTCATGCACACCAATTCACGATGAAAAATGTCTGGCTGAATTTACACAGCAAATGAAAACAAATTTTTAAAATACAACATAAATGTTCATCAATTGTGTCCCTTCCAAGGAAAAGATATCAATCTTATAAAAAGGTTGTGGAAAATTAATCTAAAACACCATGTACTGTACCAGTGGCTGCAACACTGTATGCAAAATGATGATTGAAAAATTAGAAATCTGAAACACCAGAACAATAAAGTCATCCAAACTTGTAATGCAACATACCGGTACATGTACACAAAAGTTTTGGCATAAGCAGGTTATGTTGTTGCATAAATTTACATGTACATGTATGGGTGAAATCAGCTTCAGTGATCTTTACTTGAAGGAACAGGGAAAAAGGTACCGTAGGGCTGCACCTGCCTTCATCAGGTTAATTACTGAACAGCCCCTAACAGACTTATCAAATCAAAAAAGGAAGTGAAGATTTGACAATTTTATACGTACATGTATGTACCATATTATACTGTAACACAATGCAGAATTGACTAATGCAAATACCAAGTTCAAGGATTTTAACTTATGCCCCGGGGAAGGAGTGTAGGACCACAAAAGTTGAAATGTACACGTCTCTCATTTCTTCCATGATCATTGTCAGTGGACATAAGTACATGTACATGTATGCAATACCATGTGTGGTTATGTACTGTACAAACAAGTGTGTACATGTATGTACAGCCCATTGCTTATATGTACCTATCACACAGTACACAATGCACACAATGCAACTTCATCACATGTGCACATCAAAGCATCATGCCATGGTGGTACATACCGGTGTATACCGGTACATGTACATGTGTACCTGCCTGGTTTCCATTACAGGTCGCTGGTTAAGCCAGGCACCTGACTAAACTGCAAGAGAAAATACTATTGCGCCCAGCCATTTCATCTTTTATCACATTTGAAAAGTTGGTCAAAAAACCTTCACGTTGAATCCAAGGATTTCCTGCAAACAAATACAGACTAAAGATTAAGCCTTTGATGATACATGTACATTTGAGAAATAGAAATGAAATGTTAAAAACATTTCCACACAAAAAATCATTTCGTTCATGGATTTTAAGGGTATCACTGAAGAGCAAGGGAGCCTTCTGCACACACAAAAATACCTCAACTCACTCATCTGACACATGTACTAGAAGCCATTCTACAATTCAAATGAAACTTAAGTTTGGCATCAGCCACCATACATGTATCTGCCAATTTCTTTCTGATGAACACACTACTGAAGTACTCAATAGAAATTTAAAGAACAATCACAATCAGTCATAGGCCTGTGCCGGGTTCCCTGGTACCTGCCCGTCGATATCAACACCCGGTGCCATTTTTCAGGCCGGGTAATCATTAAAAAACCTAAATAAATTAGGAACATCCATGTATAAAAATGTCATGTGAAATTTCATGCACTATGAAAAATCACAGTGCCGCTGAAAACCCAGTCGGACCGCGGTCATACATGAAACTTCAATTCAGAGATCGACAGCTACATGTACATTTGTTATCCACACCGCCCAATGTACTGCAGTCATTTTCCTAGTTCCTGATTTTTCCTAGTTCACAAGAGCGAAAAACGACTAACATGCATGGGGCGATAGGTCACTCACTACTTGTGATTTCAAATACTTTTTTTATATTGAATAGTCGTATAAACTTTTGCATCTAATGTCTGCTCAATCAAAATGACATTTAGAGTTTCCGTTTTTGACCAAAAACTGAAAGCTTTTGGGTTTGGGACTATGGGTTTGTCAACTGTGCGACGCAGGGAGAGTACCGTTAATAGCTCGTTGTACAGTTGAAAAGTCGAGTCAAACTTTACGCAATTTCTACTTTTTAATTCATTGGAATTCTTATTTTTGATCTAAATCACAAAATTAAGGAATTCTTTATCAGAAAAACAACTTTTTGTAATGGTGCCAGCTGAAAATGGATTTTCGCATGGATACTTTTTATTCGTGAAGAAGTTTTTGTCTCGATCCGAAACCAATCCAGAGCTAAGAAAGGTGTCGATCCTGTGAGTCCAAATATAAAAACCTTACATTTTGAACAAAAAAATTTGAGGTATCTCCAAAACACGAAGTTGACTTCTGACCATATTTCACTCGAATTTGAGGATTTTTGTAACTGCAATCTTACTGAATAATTTTCGCAATCCGGAATGAGGAAAATGACTGTACCAAACCTATGAACAAGAGACCGAAGGAATTTTGTCTTCTGAGGTGGAAGCGCTGTTGATGTTGCATGACTGTATTTGTAACTTTCAAACCCTGTTGGCCTAAATGACTTTTGTGCAGAAGTGGTAGTGCTTACTGTTTGAGTTCAGAGCATTTTTGTCAAATAAATCAATATAAATGAAAATTACTTCATGTCAGGATTGATGACAAAGCGAGAGCAGACTACATGTATGTAATATACCAGCAGTACTGAGACTCCACACGTGTGGTAAGTAGTGATCACGCACAAATTGCGCAGTAGATCAGCCTCTTATTAGCTAGTAACCAAAGCACTGAATGTGCTCCATTAATCCAGGGAGTCAGAGAACCAGTTTAGTTTTGGATACCAAGAAATATGCCTTAGTCATCATTTAAAAATTACTTTCAAAATTACTTTAAAATTAAAGTAATACGAATTTCCTCAGTGATTCACCGGAACTGTGGATGAGTATTTGAACAAAAAAGCAGGAACGATGTTTTCTGTATGCACAGAAGCATTTCAAATCAAAGAGTTTCTTTCATTCAAAAAAAGGGAAATGTTGACAGGTCATAATACAGTCAGCTAGTCAAATGTCACTTATACATTAAAATCTCGACAACTCGAACCTCAGGGGAATGGAGTTATCCTAAAAAAATAATTTATAAAAATAAACCACTTTATCATGGTACTGTACATGTACCTTCATGTTGCAAAACTTTTGTATGCCTTAGTCTTGTTTACAATATGAAGTGCTGCACACAGTCCAATTTTTTTCACATGACCTTTCCTTTTGTGGTCACATGGCCACTGCAATGTCGGCGATTGGATTGCCTAAAGGGACTACCATTGGGCCCGCGTTAGCAATCAGGTTAGCTTCAGTAGCTTGAAAGCCACAATTGCTGTTTCAGGTAACAATGGTTCATGGTCCCCATGAGAAAAGAAATGCACTTGACAGTGATGACTCTGCATAGACTTCTGATACTTTCAACGCCGTTTGAAGCATTTTGGTGGCGTTTTTTTGAATCAGAAACTTCAAAATAAGTGGATATATAATGGTGTGGGCATTGTTCCGAGTTACGGAGGTATTTTTGTACATAAAAACCTTTTGACCTGTGACGTACGGTAGCACTGATCTGGTCCGCAAGTGAAATGACCAGCACTCACTATTTGTGCACGTGCATTCCACTTGTATGTGGTCCTGCACCATCAGAGACATTTCCTGTGAGCGGTTGCTGGTGCGTTGGTGGTTTCAGTTCTCGTCTGTTCTGATGTTCCTTGTGAAAATTTTGTTTTCTGTTTCATATACCCACAAAAAGAAAATTTGCAAACTGACGGTAACAATTTTGCTTGATAAAAAGGTACATGTAGGAGAAATTAACCCCAACGTTTAGAATGATGTGCTGCTTGCTTCCTATGTACGAAAAAGAGCCGTGTTTCGGGAACATGGTCCCCCAGGGTCACGCACAATGTCATTTGTTATTAAGTGATCTCTTTTCCGGGTACCCAGGTACTCGATGTTGACAAAAAACAGGTACCCAGTTCCAAAAATACCCGGAAATGCACACCTCTAACCAGTCACTACAATCAGAACAGAGTGATAGGTTCTTTAATCCTTAGCTTTATTTATGCAAACAAGAAGACTCAAAATCTTTTATATTGTCAACCAATTACTTTTTAAATATTAAAAAGATGAAGAGGCTTATTCTTAGGAAAGCAGAGACGTGAGATCTAAATGGGAGTGTTGTTTACATAAATTGTACAAAGGTTTTCCAATTCTTATGTTTGAAAAATAGGGGTGTGTGCAAATTTCACAGGATGGAATTTTTGATTTACAGAGAGGACAACTTTAAAACTTTATCAGTTACAGAATTAAACACTGACTCCGGTGATAATGGGCCAGGGTTTAAACCATCTGTCTGAACACATTTAATGAGGCATCTTATACAATATGCATACCGTATGTGAATCAATACTTGAGGGTCTTTGCTTGAGGAAACTTTGAGGAAGAGACGAACTTCCAAATAGACCGCTGAGAAAAACATGTATACTGTACGATACATGTACAAAGTGAACGGGGTTTTTAGAAGAAGAATCATGAAAAAAAGGATGTCTTTTCCATACTTTGCAAAAAAGAAAAAAAATACACAAAATACCTGGTAACAACAAATCCAGCAAGATTAACATGTATAAATCTGGTGAGGCGGTAATGTTCACCCCACAAATTAATTTTAAGTGGCTTAATTACAGGTGATGTTACACTGTAGTACTCACATGGCAATATATCTTTGTATCTGTTTTTGCGTATGTTGCTATCACGTTCTCCTTCATTGGTAGAGAATGTTTTCTCTGTCTTATACCTCATTGACTGCTGCTTGAGTGCCTGTACATGAGAGAAAAGAAAAACTGTAACATTTTGATAAGTGCTGAAATGGACAGTTTGAGGTGCATTTCATGAACTAGTCTGTTGTTTCCTACTTCCAGAAGACAGCCACTAGTGAATGGGCTCTAGCAAAGCCTCATAGCATATTTGCTTCAGGGCATGCTGGTCTGTATGCACACACGTGCTACACGTACATGTAGTTCTTTTCTTACAGTAGTGTGCATCCTGGAAGTTGGTTTCTATGAATTGCTTGACTAAAGTGGGGTTCTTCCATTGGACATGTGGGAAAGGTTTGGCTGGGATTCAGGGCGGGTAGAATTGTTAAAATACGGTTGATTCACACTCGTGCGCCTCCAAGAGTTTGCAAAGCATTGGCCAATCACAATATGCGAAATCTGTCAACCTTTCCAAATGCACATTGGGTCAACAGATTTTGCGCATTTATAATTGGCCAGTGCATTGCAAACTTTTGGAGGGGCACTATTGTGAAACGCCCGTATTGTATGAAACTGCCATGTTATTATTTGTATATATATATTGAAAGTCCAAACTTTGTATTGTGGGAGTTCAGCTGTGAGACAAGTTTTGGCTTGGAAATAAACACGAGTTCTTTTGTTTTGAGTCAATTGGAAAACCTGGGTTTATGGCTCTGCTTCTATTTGGTGGCCTGCTAAGCCACTTATGTGCATGTACAGTACTTTAACCACATGCTGCCGGGTGCTTTTAAAAACACATACGGTGCTGTACGGGCAATTTTCAAGATTTTCAGTTTTCAGAATGTTACAAATATTCATCGTTTTATTTAATGGACGTTTACACCCACACAAATGACTCTTTGGTGGCTACTCTAAGCTGATAGGTAACCTTCATTGACTACTGCATATTTTAGCCAGGCCTGCCATCCTGTAAAGAGAGCCCATGCTTGTACATGTACAGTCAGTACAGTACGGTAAATCAGGACTCTAAGGACTCCAAAATACATGGTGACTTACATGTACTTATTTATTTATTTATTTCTTTTGTTTCCATAACCAACAGCAAAGAGATCGCCATTTACAGGTTAGGTATTAAAAATAAATATAAATACAAAAGACAATAACTAACTCTAATTGCAATAAAAAATAAAAATGTTCAATGCATGCAGGTTTCATAAAAAAAGTTTAAAATTAAAAGTTCAAAATTAAAAAGTACAAATTGTAACCCATATATATGTAATTTTGGTTAATTCACTTGCTGCCCTCAATGATTTTTAGACAGATGACAACTTTTATAACGATCCAGCCTTGAAAATAAGGTCCTATAGGTACACGTACATGTTGTTTATATTAGTCAGTGACAAAAACAGTTTTTATATATTCGGTTTAGAATAGTAACTAAAATTGAGTCAAACTGTCTTTTTTATCATCATGCAATTGCACCTTCAAGTTAAATTAGTATATTGGCCTAATAGTATGGAGCATCCATTGTGTATGTACATGTACAGTTTATATCTTTTGTTCCTCATTCTTGCAGTGAAGCAAGCAGTGAAGCAGTCCCTTGCTCTGTGCACATCTGACATCAACATTTGCCTGGAAAGGTTCAGAGGTCTGTGCAGTCTTAATGCATGTTCCAATTTTCTCCTTTTTCCTTTCGTTCATTTTGCTACCAGTATCATGCCCTGACTACAATGTCTCACCAATAGTCAACCCTCATCAACTGTCGCATTCTTAGCTCTGGCAGTAACTTTTCCCTTTCTTGCATGTACATCATTAGGACTACATGTACACGTCCCTGCTCTCCCCTGTGGACTAATGTCTAGATGAACCTTATTGTTTCTTTCTTTTAAAATGACTTCCTTGTTTATTCCCGGATATTTCCTGTGCTGGTGAGATCTGTGGCTCAAAAAATACATGTACATGTATGTTATACTGAATATATTCACAATAATATAAGCTTGTGGATTGTAGATTAATGTGGATTAATCTGCCCGAACAGAGTGCTGGGAAGGGCTGATAATTGCACAGATTTTTAAGGAAATATGTCAAACAGAGTTACAGCTAACGATGTGCAGAGCATTGTGGGTAAATTTCTGCCAGGCACATGAGCTCGCTCAATGCGTTACACAAGCAGCAGTTATCAATTCGATATTTTTCTTTTTTTCTTCCTCATTGCTGAAAATAATCTCACTACACTTTATCTGTTCATCCAAAATTGATGAAGATAGCCAATGATTTGAAATATGCATGTATCACCAAAAAGACACTTGATCGGTGATACTCAGTGAGAAGATACGGTACATGTAAATTACCACACTGTGACTGTACCACGGCCATGTTTTTATCATCGAGCCGACACTTTGGCCGTGCCAAAGATTGCCATCGGTGAACCAAAAATTTAAATACATGTAACACTTTGCTGACTGGAAGTGATAACCTCACGGTCAAATGTGCTAGTACTCCTACTGTACAGTACATTATGACAGCAGCATCTTTCTCAACACTGAGAACTGGGTTATTTTTTGGACAGGATAAATCTTTCCCTAAATTTCCCCAAACATGTTTGAGCCAATACCCACTCTACGTACATGTTCATGTACATGACGTAGAATGTGCATGTACTTCGCCACACATTACAAAAAGGTTCAGTGCGTGTACATACATGTGCATACATCTACATGTACATGTACATACAGTTTACATGTATAAACTGTGCCAACTGCTCAACATCCATGCACGTTCATCATTTCATGTACATGTACTGTAAATGTAACTGGGAAGTTGAGAACAAAAATTATAAATGTGAAGCATTTTTCAATTTGTCATGTACAAACACATACGTGTACAGTGTACATGTACCGGTACATGTACATGTATGCAGTATGTGTACACATGGTCATGATAGTGAATGTACCATACACGGAAAGTGAGAAATAAGGAAATTGTGACTTCATGAAATGTTGCATGCTGTACCGGTGCATGTAGATGTTCAGAGATTGTTTTAATTAATGTCTTTCCATTACTGCAAAGCTGGAACAATTTCCTGTTTTTGTTCAACCTGTGACGAAGGTCAGAAAGGTGCCATAACAAGAATGTTAATGGTCAGAGATCTCCAGAACTCTCTGTCCTCTGTCATGTGTACACGTACCCTAGCAGGGCGGACAAGTTACTGGTAAAGGGACTACATGTACATTTGTATTTCGAATGGCTGAAATACAATGTGCAAAGTGAAATATGTTGTTTTTTTTCACCCCGAAAAACCTGAAGTCAGTTACATTTCTTTTTGAAGCATTGTGGACACATAAGAAGGGCCCCAACTTGCTTCCATTCATTATCCTCACAACTGTCTGTGTGTGTATAAGTGTTGTGGTAAACTACTTTTCGAGTACCAAGTTCTCTACCAAAAGTTTAACTAGTTAGGAGGGAACAAAGCTGAGGTACATGAACATGGGAGTGTGTAAACATCGTCAATAGTGGACCTATAACAATAGGAGACAAGAGGGTTCACAGTTGCTGAAGAGTCCACAGTTGAAAAACGTGTACAAAACATATGGGAGGTCTTCCGAAAAAGTTAATGAACAAAAGAGGAACAATTCAGAGTCCAGGATTGAAGGCCTTTACACACTTGGGTGCATTTGACGGAACATGCACAAAGGTAAGATTACTTGCTTAGGTAAAATGATGACTTCAGACTACATCAGACTACAGACTATTCAATAAAAATTAAGTTTTTAGGACAAAAGTCCTTAACAAGTACTGGGCCAAGTACTTTTTCCTTAAAACTTAAATTTGATGAAACCGGGAGTGTCTGAAGTCTTAAATTTAGTTTGTAGTCTTACCTTTGTGTAGGTACGGTACCATCAAATGCCTGTGCACTCCAGTTTTTTTCTTTGGTAGAGAACTTGGTACTCGAAAGATACAGTACATGTACTTAACTACAACAGTGATATTGTGCACAACATTGCTTCTCCTACTTACATGTACACGTAGCTACTGTACATATATGTGTCTTATTAGTATCTTTGCTTTGTAATTTTTTGGGTGTGGTGTGTATACATGTAAATTATGACTAGCACCATCTTTTGTCTAAGCAGTGTAATTTGGTATTCCCAGAAGTTACAGTGCAGCTTTTCAAAGAAAATTAACTACATGTACATGTACATACATTTGTCAGTCTACAGACACTTGCTTGCAGGTGAGTGTCAATAAACATGCCCATTTACAATGTGGTTGCTGATTAATTAAATATAAGGCGATGCCTGGTTGACCTCCAGATGTTGACCAATCAGCTGACGTTGGTTGATTATGGACCTTCAGCTGGGGTAAGTTCAATGAGAAGTTAGACAACAACGTTGTCTGGGGTGTTGAAGTTGTCTGACCACTGCTTCCTGGTTGTAAAGGATCAAATTTCAAATGTGTGAAATCTCAAATGAATACTTGTACACAAGTCAATATCTTCCAAATGGTTAAGGATAATAAATTGGAACCTTGCATTATCACACTTAAAAATCTTCATGTCAAGTAATGGTTGAGGTGTGTGTGCTTCTTGAGAGCCCTCTAGGGGTAGGCTGAACTGATAAATGTCAAAAAGTGAATTTTCAATTTGTCTGCGGCAAAATTTGCTGTAATGGCTTCAAAAGTTGGTTGATATGATGACCTTAATTAATGTAAACAGTGCATGCGTCTGTTTGGAGCTCATGACTGTAATTGGACTGGAAGTTAAAATGAAAAGATCATTAAGTTTTCAAAACTCACTACGAAAATTCATCCTGATAGATACATGTATAATTACAACTTTTCCTTCAAATGATAGACAACATGTACATGTAAGTACATGTATTGGCACTAACCAAGGTACTGGGCTTGTTGTTAATACAGTAAACACACTGATGACAAATGTTCCATAAACTTATACAATAAATTCATTAAATTCAATGGCGGAGATGCAGTCCAATGTCTACCTACTACTGGCATCTGTGAATTTATCCCTCTTTTCTTTCGTTTTCTTTTTTACAAGAATAATTTCCTTTTTATTCTCGGATATTTCCTTTGCTGGTGAGATCTGTTGCTCAAGAACTACATGTATGGTAATATATTCATATTAATCTTATCAAATCTACAGGCACCCTTTTACTGTATCTGAAAGATACTGGCATGCTTTGATCCTGGAAACCCAGACGCTCAACATACCCATGTATGATGATGACAGCATCAAACTCACTACATTGGCTGTCAATCACTGCTCAGAACTCAAATCTGAGTATAAAAATATTACAAACTTTTCTATTTAGTTTTTATTTGACACAGGAGAATTACTTCCAACCAGGAAAATCAAACAAAAATTTTAGGAATTTTACCCTTTCAGTGGATGATGAACATAAACCGGTATCTCTGAGTCAAAATAAAAACTTTAAACAGGAAATGATACAAACAGGTACAATGTACTTCATATTAAATTCACTACTTCAACCTAATATGGGCTAGTACATGAATTTGGCATGTGTCTAGACATTGCTTGCACATCAATTCCAATTTCAGAGACTAGTGCCCGGTCAGGTACATGTACATGTACATGTACTAGTCTTGAACATTTTTGACTTTTGAGATGAAACTATGCAAACCCGGGATGATTTTTTTCCTAATTGTTTACAGCAACTTAAAATTAGACTGCATCTATGAAAACTAAAATAAACCTTAAAATTTTTGCAATTTTTGAATTGGTTGAATGGTTTGAAAAGTTGAATTTCAACGGTTAAAACCCAGAGAATTCTTTTCCTTGTTGAATGTAGCAACTCAAAACTACAATGCGTCAGGGGACACTAAAATTTACTTTCAATTTTTTTGCTATTTTTGAAGTGCTGTTGAAAGTTGAATGAAAACAGTTAAAACCCTGAAAGAATATTTTTCTAGTTTGAGGTATGCTATAAAACAATATGGACTGGCCACAGTCGGTCACTTTTGCACACCCATGCCCCTAGGGCGTGTTAATGACCAGAAGAGGGTCCTATTTCCTGAGGCCTCAAGAAATAAGACCCTCTTCTGATCCCTGACAGTCCCTTGGGGACATACAAGTAGATATGCACTAGTGACCTCATCGCCAGTCCATACATTTATGTGTATATCTATTTCGAATCGTTAATTGTTACGCTTTATAGTACATACATGTACATGTACTAAGGGTCATTCCATGTGTTGGGAAGCAGTGTAGCCTGCCTTTAAAAATCCTTCACGAGCATCTGCTCAATCAACTGTAGCGCATCTCAAAGAGGTAAACCTAATCTTTAAAATAAGACCAAGCCTGACTGCATTGAACAAAACCACCTGTTGAAAAGTTATTGACAACTGATGGTGTCAAAAGCCCTTTTCATTACTAAATGTGTGACGTGATTTACAATTAAGGGTTTTTCTCAAGTGAGAGGCAGCTTCTTTTTTTTTTTTACGGTTTTATGTTCAAGAAAGGCCCAACATTATTCCTTGAAAAACAACTTTCAGAATTTCTAAATCTTACATGCACCAGCTGTGATCAGAAAACATCAACTTCGACGTAAATTTGGTTTCAACAAATTTTGCGGAATGTTACATCCAAACGAGGGGTGTAAGTTATCCCTAAGTTGATTCTCTACTTTGTGTATAATTCTGTTGCAGTGATGCCCACACTGTTTCGTTGTGTTTTGTGTTATTGTGAGGCTACTGATGGAATTGACTCATCAGCAGGGGATCCAACAGTACTACTGTACCTCAACAACATGCGAAAGTGCATTCCTCAACTGAACTGCAGAACTTTGTTTACTGCTTGTCAATAGGATTTTATGTACATGTATGTATGTACACTGTATGTGTATGAATACATGTACATCATTGTTGGCTAGTAAAATAATTTTTTGTTTCAAAGATGGAGTAAGCAGGCGCTACATGAGTGCGGTTTCAATGTTACACATGTACATGTACATCTGCAAACAAAGTTCTCCAAGGCAAACAAGATCATTCCATGAAAGTTTTACTAGAGGACAAGAACTGCACAAGAACATTGCTTTTTGAGCATGCCTGTACATCAAGACTTGCATGTGAAGATGCAATATGTTTACAGCCTGTGACGTTTTGGGGTCACCGGCATATCGTTAATAATACATAATGGGCGACTCTGTTAAAATTCCTCCCTCTTTAAGTCTCGACATTACTCTGTCATCTACATGTATCTGTGCAACAGACAGACTTGGAGTTTGTGCTTGTGGAATGAATAAAAAATGGCAAACAATGATATAAAAATACAGCTGAAAGAAAAGACATGGCATGCCCTTTTTTTTTTTAGTATTTCATACCTGGGACCGGACCAGACCAAGGAAAGCTTGAAACCTTTGGTTTCAAAATAAAATTTGGAACTGAAACAAGTTTACTACACTGGAATCACGGCATGCATGTACAAAGGTCTCTCTCAAAAACGTATGTTTTACTTCAATTTTTGTGACACGCATCGGCTGTGCCATATTTTGAACATACATGTATGTATTTGGATCAGCACGCACCCAAGTTCAGAATCCTTTGCACAACACAAGCACATGCACCTGATGGTGTTATATACCGGTACACAGCTGCAATTTTCCTACAAAGATGGCGTCCAATGAGAGGGATCTTTACAAGTACATGTACAATGTACTTCTAGTGAATCAAATGAAGGCAGGCACACGAAACATCTCCCTACACTGCACATACTCTATACAGCGTGCGACCACAAACCAATCTACTCGGGTACCTACGGTAGTACCTGTACGTGTAGTACCTGTACCTGCATGAAAGTTACGTTACAGTTTAAAGTGGGCTCATGCTGTGTACATAGTAAGACCAGTCCTTTTGTTTTAAGGCGTGCGATTGCACTCCCATGCCATCACACGTCTACAAGCTTCCCGAGAAGTGCAAATAATTGCACACCTTAAACCATCCATACTGCACTCCTCGGCATGAGTTTACTTTATAATTATACTTTGCAATTTGTAAGAAAAAGAAACGAAAAGAATCATACATGAGGCCTACCTAACAGTTAGTGATGACGGAATCATATTTTTATTCCCCTGACGAAACAGTTGAGCACAATACACATGTAGCTCTGTCAGTGTACAACTGTTCAGGACATGCACATTGCACAGCGCTGCAGCAAGCATTGCTGCATGCAAAATGCTACAAATACACCAGACTGTACAAGGCTTTACATGCATCTACACGTCAAACGCAGTGCCATGAGATCACACCACTTTTCAGTCAAATTTTCTCAATGAATTCCCTGATTATCCCAAGTTTTTCGTGGAGATGTCTGCCCTGTAAGTTGTTCCAATCACAACAACGATATTTTTCGGAAAAAAAATTAGGGCTTTTACTCGCATCTACACAAAACAATCTCCAGAAGTCGGCATGCTTTCACGATGCAGGCTCCAATGCTCTACAAGTAGTGAAACAACGAATTCCTTTGAAGTTGAGACTGGGACCAGACCAGACAATCATGATGCACAACATAGTGCGTGAAAGCCATGGAGAGATCATGCCAGTGTGGATCGCAGCAGATTTTGTGTGCAATTGTTTCCCAATAAACCTTTTAAGCATTAAGAACGAAAATAACTCACAGGAAAGAGATCTGGCAAAGAGAAACTTCAGGAAAGTCGGGAGATTTATTTGAAAAATTTAATGGAGAATTGGAGTGATCTTGTGGCTCAGAGGAGTTCTACATGGTCCGTCAAGGCTGCAATTATGGAAAGGGCATGATATACATGTATGACCGTCATAAAACTTTGAATCTGTTTACATGTATTGGACATATCTCCTTGAGTTTGCTTGAAGTAAGCGGGTGTGATCTGCTGAAACTGTTGCACCATTTTTTGGTGGTTTTGTTGATTGTTTATATGTAAAGTTGACCTAATTTTATCTTTTTATTTTACTATGTCTTGATTGACCCAAGGTTTTGGTTCATTTTTCAAAATCACATGCAAGATCAAGATTCCCTGATGACTCTTGATAAAAAATCTTAGGTTAGACATCACCAACGGATATAAATAGATACATGTATGATGCAAGGGTCAGGGGTCACAAGTTGAGAGCCTGGGTGTTTTCGATTTCATTACATGTACACTTTACAGTAGTGCACCCTGTATGTGTGGGCATTATATTCTGCATTTTGCCTAGCTGACATTGATTCCGGCCAAATGGGCAAAGTGGCCTTCAATTTCAGTGTAGTTCTGTAGGATCAACAGCTAGCATTAGAATACGGGAGTTTACGTTCAACAGATAGCCTAGCCACCTGGCCGGGAATAACTGAATATCAACAGTACCATCCACACATGCGAAATATATAGGGGACGACTTCAGAATATTTTGGCTATTTCTGGAAAACTGCAGGAATTCCTCCAGTCTTGGTCACCATGTCATGCATGTGGAAATTGGGTGATACCGTACCCTTGATTCGTAGAGTAGTCAGAATCATCGGGTCTCAAATCCAGACTATCACAACTACAGAGCCAGCCCCCTATCTAACAATGCCAAACACTGCCTACAGCTAAGCAACACATGCATGACATGGGATGACCAAGTTCCTATAATTAGTGTCAACAACTTGAACAAGTGTGAACTGCTGATGAAATGCATGACAAGGACAGTCACTAATTCACAAACTTACCATAAATTCTTTCAAAAATCCATCTTCACCATTTGTAGCCAACATCCGAAGATGTTCCTCATGTTGTAAAAATGCTTCCAAATGTTCTCTTTGGGACATTTTATGTTCTATTACATTTCAACGCGGCTGGGTTTGAACTGTATTAATACACTTACATGTACATGTACATTTTTGTACATGTACTTCACACACGGGCCAACAGTAGTAGTACAGCATGCATGATGACATGGATGAAGGCCTACTCGATACCAGGAAATAATTGGTTTTCCCCAATGGACAACCTTGTTCTCGGAACTTCCTCGAACTAGCTCACAACCACGTACCCAAAAACCACTCTTTCCGCTTCGTTTGTCTCCATCATAAGAAATATTATTTCGTTACCTCGAAGTACTATTTCGTTCCCTCCAAATATCATTCCATTCCCTCAAAATCATTTCGTTCCCTCGACGCGAGTGGTCTGTCCCCCGCCAAAAAATAAGGCCGGGGGGGGTTCCGCCCACTCCACATTTTTCTCATTAGCTTCACAGTGCATTATTCACGCTTTGGGTCTTTCAGACTTTTGAGTAACTCTTTGCCAGCAGCCATTTTTGCACCTATTTTGTGAGAATCGGACCTACCGTTTTCGCGCAGTGTCCATTTTTCCGAAGAAGGTCAGCAAAAAAATTACAATTTTTCCTCGCGCACACGTTACATGCAAGGGCACGCTGGCAAGCGCGTGGCCCCAAACTTCAAGTGGCCATCGCAACATCTTCAAATTAACTGAAAGTGAATTCCTTTTAAAATTAAAAGGGAAAAGAATGGTTTTAAAAATCGTGTGGGGGGATCTGTTCCCACGTCCCTTCCCCGCTGGGACACTGAAGATAATGGGTATGAGTGTTTTGACAGGCTCCAGTTGGTCATATTTCTTCGTCATAATAACAAGAATCTGCAAAGTACCTACAAAAATTTCTGTGAGATTCTCAGTGTTAAAGCTGGTTATTGCATGAACATGGAGGTATGGGTTCTGTTTGTGTCTTGCCAATGCTATCTGTGTGGGTACTAGCATCTTGTCTAGCAGATGATTTGCACTTTTTTTCGGTGGGCTTTTAGTCATTGGTTTTTCACTCGTTTGGCGGGACTTTGGTGGTAGTCAATATTTGACTTGGTAACAAGTGGGGTGTGTTGTCTGGGGGTGCTGGGCTGGATGCATATGTCAGTCCAGTGCTTTCACAGCATCTACAACTGAGATGTTGCAAGAGACTTTCAGTAGTTGGATTTTCCTTTCCTCTTTGATGGTGGTGCAGCCTTCCTGGGAGGAGTTTTCTCCACCGCAGAGACAAACTTTCACTTTTTCTCGTTGCTTACAAGCTTCATAGGCAAGGGGGCCCCGCAACGGACACATCAGATTTGTTGCTAGCAACATGTCCCAGCCTCTGACAGTTGAAATATCTTATTACAGGTGGGATGTATGTCTTGACTTCATAGTATTCATAGCCAAGTTGGATTTTTGCAGGTAAGGTGGTTTGTTGAACGTGAGACAGGCAGACTCTTTTCAAGACTTAGTGAACCATGACGGCATCGCATCATGCGCTGGGCCTCTACTCCAGATTTCTTACGCCTTTACTTTGAGCCTGAGACTTGACATAAGCAGCGGTTACACCAACCGAGTTGTGGCAGCGTTTGTGCTTGGGCCCGAGTGAAACGTCGAACGGCAATGGCGCCTCGATTGCTTTTTGTGACCTGTTTGACTACGTCTTTCCCAACTGCTTAGTTAAGATACTTTGCTATTTTAACTGGGCTAATTTTAGCTAGCTGTACATCAGAGGAGTTTATAATTATAAGGGCAGACTGGCTTTCGGTGTTGGTGTGTCGGCGTTTTATGATTTGACTGGGTGTGATACTGTCTGAATCAACTGTAGTTTATACTGGGTTTTGCTCGTTTTCTGGATTGTTTTTGAGTTAAAAACTCGGGTTTAGATTGTTCTTGAGCCCAGCTAATAAGTCTATCCAGAGTGGACCGAGGCTAGGCCTCATCCCAAAATCCTTGAGGTTTTCCACTGTTTTTCTGCTGGAACAATTCGGTCCCATGATATGTCATTTTTGAATTCAGACTCAGCATCAGTCATTTCTTGAGATTATGGACTGTACAGCGTCTCAGAAATTACCTAATGTCACTTGTTGTGCATCAGGCGTACCTTTCCAATGACGATCCATACAAACTCCCTCTCAGTCCTATCATAGATCACCAGTGTTTCGCGCACGACTGTTGAATTTTGCGCCAGATAGCAAGCGACGGTTCAATACGTCCGTTTACTTTAGCCAGTCCTCTCGAAGTCCCTGTCGACATCGCTCAGCGGGGTGGCAAGCGAGCAAAACATAAATACCAATCCTTGCTAAGCCTATGTTGATCACAGTGTGGTAATTTTTTTTCAGTGATCATCACCGATAAATCATTTTACGACAATTATTTCAAATCACTGGTTATTGTGTAAAATTTTAGAAAAATGAACAATAATGAAGTTATTTTCGGGAACAAAGAAGATAAAGCAAAATTATTCTATCAGCTCCTACTTGATTTGTGCATTTAGTGGGCATCGTTTCCTCATTTACATAAACTGGCAAGATTCTACCGGTTTCATTACCCACTACCCGTCCCTACGTTCGGAGGACAAGACGTCAGCAGACTATTTGCATTGGGGCGGGTTGCTACATTGACAGCTGAGCGAATAGTTTTATTCCTATTTTGGGGGTGTTTTTGGCAAAGGACGAATAAAACAATTCGCGTGGCTAGCCCCTATAAAATTGAAAAGAAAAGTGAACTTCTGGCTGTAATCTTGAATTTCCAAAGAAAAGCGGGAGGCCAACCACTCTCTGAGAATCACCAGGCGGCGCTGTTTCTGTCTCATTTTGCACCATGGGCGCGTAAATTAATTATTCTAGTTGCGCAGGGTGCAGTCCACTAATTCAAGTAATAATTTCCGCCAAGCACATTAGTATTAACTAACCGTTCTTTAGGCTTCCATCTGGGAGTAGAAGGGATAACAAAAACCACACACACACACAACAAAAACACGGCTGGAAAATGGTCCAAAAGGCCACAGAAACTAGTGGGATGCCATTTGAAAAATGGCTTCGTGCTGAGTTCGGAATTTGACTTTTGGGCGGTTGATTTTGTTTTGGGTAAATAATTAAAAATGTAATTGGTTAACCCCCCCCCCCAAAATTGAAAAGAAACTGAAAGATTAATGACCAAATAATAATTAAATTTTTGTTTGAGACACCCCAGGGATGTTGGCTTGCATGTCATGAGCTTTGGACGATGGGTGATTTTACATAGGTTTCAATGAGGCCCGAATTAGTGTTCTTTACCCTGCAACTACCGGGTATCGGGTCACTTAATCTCCAACCACTTCGCCCCATGTCACTTCTCCCCTAACCACTTCGCCCCATTTCCATTCGACCCAGCCGTGCTTGAACGTGTTTGGAAACTCATCAGGCACAAACAAGTCGCCTTTCTTGTGGCGTGGATTGACATCATGTGACAATGAATTTCACATTAAAATTGGACTAATTTAAGAAACAATATCGTTGCTTAAAGTTTCGTGAAAGTTTCTCCTATAGTCTTCTATGGATCCCTTGTAGGCCTAGGCTACGTTTTCTCTTCCTTTCTTTTTTGAATCCGTAGCCAAACAAACTTAACTTTCAAAGACAGAAATAAAAATGCATGTCTCTCCTTTTCATTCTCCTTTAGAAATTATATTCACTTGATATAGTCAAGAATCACAGCAACCCTAAAGTTTCGATGGTCATAATTATATTGGTGAAACTATGCGCGTGCATTTACAATTTCAGCATAAATTGACTTCACACCTTATACAGGGCTGAGGAGTTAACTGCCAGCATTTAGGCATATTGCCCGGCCACGTAACGCGTGACTCTGACTCTGTGCGCCGTATTGACCAAAGAATGTAACGGCGCCCACATTGCGCACTATAGGCTTGACACCTACAATAGGATGATCATGCTTATTGTTATATTTTCCTTAGCAAATTGCTTAAATTTGAACTTTTGGTTTGGCTGGGCAGATAAACTGTCGACGTTGCAACCTTCACCAGTAGGTTAAAAAATACCTCGGTGTTGATGATAAATCTCCTGGGAGGACTATGTTCAATTTATTACAACCCAAAGCAAACAAACTGTTGGTTTCATTTTCAGTATTGCTCATGATCTATCTCAAAATGTCCTACTTGCTTTATACAAGGTTCTGGTTCTTTCTACTCTTGAATATGGCCAGCCTGTTTGGTACCTGTATAATAAAGAAGAACTATATTGACAAAATCACGGTAGAGAATATTCAACGTAGAGCAGAGCTATACTAGAATAATGACGGAGTACCTGACAGGTTACGCGTTCTTAAAACTGTCCTCACTTGCTTCCATATCCCAGCGTAGAGCGGAGTTGCTACACTGGGGATCAAATTTTTTCTAATTACGTAATTAAAAACAAAAATTTTGGCCAAATGCAAAAACCTCCTGTTAATTTGCACCTCTGTAGATGCTGAACAGCCTAGTTTAGTCACCTTTAACAAGGGGACTTCCCCTGAGCTGCGTAATTCTTTTCCAGGGCCTGCTTCCAGCCAAGTCTCATGGGGATTGTATCTAAATGTCTAAGCCACGTGTTGATAAGGGATTATTGACAATGAATATTGAATGGATGACATAAAAACAAGAAAAAATCGACACCAAAGAGCACATAGCATGTACTTCGCAAGAACGGTGGACGGACATGAAAGAAAACAGTAAAGGCGCCCTCTATAAACTATGGTGTACTATTTACAACAAACATTTCTCTCTCTCTTTAGCCTCCATCCAAGCGACACAACCAGACGACGCGACGGCACGACGGTTCCCTTGCGTCGTGCCGTCGCCCGTCGCGTCGTGCTGCCTTAGGTCTTTTCCATGTTGCATTTATTGCCACCTAAACGTCACCCCTTCCGTCGCCCGTCGCGTCGTACCGTTGTGCGTCGCGTCGTACGTCGTGTCGTGCATCACGTCTCCTATTACGTCGACTGAAGCACGACGCGACGCACGACACGACGCACGACGCGACGGGTCGTGTGCTGTCGCCCTTTGCTTCTTGGTGTTTATAGAGGGCGCCTTTACTGTTTTCTTTTATTTCCGCCCCCGTACTTGCATAGTACGGTATAGTCCACTAATTCAAGCTCCATTGAAAACAGTATAAAATCGGCACTGTTCAGGGCCCAATAACATGGATACCAACTTCCTTGAGATTGCTGAA